ATATATATATATATATATATATGTATACCACTCGTTCTATAAACGCGCGTGCCTGTATTACAGACACATATAATACGTATATATATATATGTGTAACACTGTAATAACACTGCGAGAGACGTGCACATGTGCGTATAAAGAGAAAAAAAATAGATATATAGACGCACATTAGAGGTCCGTTTTTATTCCTAGACAGCTGCACTGCTGGGACTTTATTTTATACCTGTCTTCCCTTTAAGTTCCAAAAATGCATACTACTACAATTCGGTCACAGAAACTTAAACATATATGTGTGTAGATATAAAAATAAGAGAGAGAGGAGAGAGAGACAGATTTTGAAAAAAATTTATCTTCGAGATTCGGTTCACATCTTTATTCGATAACTATATCGCAACGAGATATCATAACGCGGCTCCTTCCATTTTGCCAGCTGCGCAATCTTTGACTGTACGTGCTACTAATTATTTTTTACTTTATTTTGCGTGTAACAATTTCTACATGTCGTTCTCACGGCTCTTTGCGCTCACTCGATGGCTAAACTCGACGATACAATTTTCGACATTTTTCCATACTCGCGATGACTTCCCATTCGAGTCGATTCGTCTGACACGTTATGTCATTTCAGCTGCTTTCTATATTTAATTTGTATCGTTGCGTGTCACCGCGGCTCGAGTCTCGCGCGACTCTGACTCTTCCTCTCTGCCTCGGCTGATTGTAGCAGTCCGCTGCAGAATTGTGCAAAATGAAGGGGGGAAAAGATATAATTTAAAATCATCGAGAAACGAAAAGCCCCCCCTCTTTATATACACGTTAAGACATTATTCTTATGTGCTGGTCAACACGTAAACGATTACGTAAGAAATAACGCAAATATGTATTAATGAAAATAAAAACAAACACGAGTTTTCATCCGTTAAAAATTAAATATATCCATTATTCGTGCGTTAAACGCCGCGGCGCGGCGTAAAGTCATCTAGGTAGTGCAAGGAATAAAACTCGCTAAATCGTATATGCTAAATATGACGCTCGCCCCAATTGCCTTGTGCGTGTACTATGGGCGTAACCCGTCCATTTTTCTTCCATTTTTACTCCTATTGGCTTGATTCGTAGAAGTGTCGTAGAGACGATCAGATCGAGCGCGCCGCTTCGGCCGCGAACGCGCAAACCAAGTTTTTATAAAACCCGATTCCCACGCTCGTTCTTTCTACGGAGGCGCGAAGACACCGGCATGAAATTATATCGCGAGCGTGATCTCGATACGATCTACTATTGTAATTATTGCGCGATTTTAATTATTATATCGTTGCGCCTTAAGGAATAAATAATTAAGATGCGGAACAACGTCGCATAATTATAGCTATAGCTCTGTGTAGCCTTTAAAACGCTTGAATGCGTCCCATGATGTATGATCGCGCATCATGTAAAGATTGTAAAGTATAAACTACAATTAAACGATGTATTTTCTCGCCATCACGATCGTTCTCCAATTTTCCACCATAATCGCATAGCGAGAGGTTTTTTTTTTTTAAGGCAAAATAATTACTCGCGTCTCTATACTGCAAAAAAACAAAAAGAAAAAATAGGCGCAAGTCAGCGCAAGTGCAGATACCGGCTTCCTTCGTCAGCTGACTAGTGATTGCCAACAGTGCGAACTACGAGTAACCGTAGTCGACTTCGCTGAACGCCCGCAGACGCTAAAACGTTAAACGTGTGTTTTCGCGGGTGTGTGGATTTCTATCCTCTTGTGGATGACCTTAATCGTGTACGTATATATCGTGACACGACGATACGTGCGAGTTCGATTTGAGTTAATCGCGTGCATTTTTTAGGTTAGTTATTGAAGATATTAACAGTTAAAATTTCCTCAGATAATGGAAGAAAAATATACCAGGAAGGGGTTTGCGTTACAGTTTTAGTGACACTTGTCTGTGTCTCCGTATCATCGCAATCCATGACACAATGGGAGTATACGGCTTGTGGAAATTGCTTGATGCATCCGGAAAGCCGGTACCCTTAGAAAGCCTCGAGGGCAAGGTCTTAGCAATTGGCGAGTATAAACATATATGTATATAATATTTTAAATTTAAGTTTTGTGTGAAAAAAAAAAAGATGACAGAGACCTGTTACCTCAACTCGAGTTTCTAACAGAAGCACAATTGATTATAAAACTTTTATAATAATGTGATATATATCTTTTACAATTTATAGATATATCAATATGGATGTACCAAGTATTGCAAGGATATCAAGATCGTCATGGCGCTCCTAGACCCAATGCTCATTTGCTTGGATTATTCAGTAGGATATGCAAACTTCTGTATTACAAAATTAAGCCTGTTTTCGTATTTGATGGTGGAGTACCCATGCTCAAGAAGAATACAATTGTAAATATGTGATACATTATCAGATTCTTTCAACTGATTACAATATTATAAATTAACAAATACATTAATTAATGATCTTTAACTCATGTATTTCATGCAAAGGAGATACGCGATTCATTGTATGAAATTTAAAAAATTGTGCACTATGCATTTACGTACAAACTAAACTGTTCTTCTATCTTGATTATAATATTGTTCGTACTTAATTAGCTCACCGTGGGAACCAGGTAGTGAGAAAAGAGCCTTCTCATTCTTTTGTGTTTGCAGGCCTCGCGCAGGAAGCAGAAATCTATTGCCACGAGTAAGGCGCAGAAAATGAAGGCGGATTTGATAAACAACTTGATAAAGCACAGAGTTGTAAAAACCGTTCTTAATAAAGATTCCAAGGATCAGAATAGTGAAGCGACACAAATAACGATAAATACGCAAACCAAACATTCCAACGATGATATGTTTGCTCTACCTGATATGCCTAGCGTTAGCAACTTGCAGAGTTATGTTGATGATGATCAAGATGATTCCGACTCCCCTGTCGAACTAAGTCCACGAAAGCAATCCAAATGGAAGGGAAACATACACAACGTTGACGTAACCAGTAACGAATTTAAATCATTACCTGCAGATGTTCGTTACGACATACTCACTGATCTTAAAGAAACGAGAAAACAAAATTCCTGGGGTCGTTTGTATGAAATGCCTCAAGTATGTACAAACTACAAATGGAAAACAATATTTAATGCTTATATATACACACATATTATATTATATTATCTAAATGTCCGGTGTAGGAATCACATGAGTTCTCAGGCTTCCAGTTGAAACGTTTACTTAAACGTAGACATGTGCAAGAATCTTTAGAATCTGCTGAAAAGGAAATGGGTGGAAAGACACTTACATTGGAAGAGTTGGACAAGTTACTGACTGAACAAGGTGTTGATACAAAGAGTAGAGACTTGGCTTTTCGAATAGCCGCGGATAATACAACTAGATTGATCTACATCAGTGGTATGTGCAATAAACATTTCTTATTATACATCACCATCTATTTAATAATGAATTTTATATTACTTTATGCAGACAAAAACGCGTTAGCGACAAAATCTGTTACAAACGAACCAGAATCGAACAAAAGTGATACGTTACAGTATGTAAATGAAGAAATTGAACCTGTTGCTGGTCCAAGTAATCCTATGCGAATTGTAGAAAATATTAATGAGTATGAATTAAGCGATTCCAATAGTGAGGACAATATATCGATCTATGATGATGCTCTACCTATTGCAGAAAACATAAGTGAATACACATTTGATAGTGAGTGGGAATCTGAAAATGATGTAAACGAATCATTGAGATTATTGGGAAAGAATATGATAAATCCTGCATTAACGTATATGTTAGAATACAGCGGTTTGTCCCAGAATGAAATCATGCAACTTATTAAACGTACTAAGGATGAAAGTCACAAAACGGTAAGCAAAAACATTAAAGATACCGCAGAAAAAGATGTTCGTATAGAATTAGCAAAAATCACAAAGCTAGATGATAAATTAACTTTTCCTGAAAATTGTGAGCAAGTTCTGAAATCCGTAGAATCACAGAGTGAGAGAGAGAAAGACGTATGCAGTTTTGAAGAAAATATGACCGATGAATTAATTTCATCTAGTCCAGAATCGGATAATCTCACTCAAGTTAAACCATTGGAGAGCAATGACAAGACTTCAAATATTACTATTACATGCGATATCTCGGACGAAGAAATAGTTGACGAACATTCTCTTACCGTGAAATCTAACAAAAATGTAATACAAGTAGATACATCTGATTCCGATTCCGACGATTTCATTGAAATCCAAGATGTTCCGATACATGATATGAATATTTCAAGAAATGTTACGAAGAAAGAAGATATTGAGATAACTTTTAAGATCGATAAAAAGCCAGAAGATGATATATTTGCCGATATATTTATCAAAACGAATAAAGAAGAAGTTAGACCAGTGAATTCGAAGCAAGAACCATTTGTCGATACGATAAACGGAGATGAGCAAACACAATTAATTTCTGAAAACTATAATAAAGATAGTGCCTTAGATATTATATATGAAGAATCAATCAAGGAAAAAACAAAAACTGAATTACTAGACAATATTGAATTAAACGAGAATATACCAGATGACGAAGACAAAATACGTGTCGACGAAAACTCGAGTAAGTCGATTGAGCAAGATAATACTGATACTCGAATTAATTCTCTTGACGAAAATATACAGGAAAAACCACAAGTGTTACCTACTAATAAAGAAGATTTGATAGAATTGAAAGTAAACTCAACATTATTTCTATAAACAGATGGACAGTAATTTTATTGCATTTGTATTTATTTGTCTGAAATATGATTATGTAATTACAGGGACAATTAGAAGATCAGCAGGAAGAACTTGCGAGAGACATTGGCAAACTAGAGAGACAAGCTACCAGTATTTCTGAGCAAATAAAAACCGATGCACAGGTATACTCGAAAGAATACAAAAAGACAATGATGTGTGTTACATTATGTTCGTTTACAGGATCTGTTACGTTTATTCGGAATACCATACATAATAGCTCCCATGGAAGCGGAAGCACAATGTGCATATTTGGAACAAATTAAACTAACTGACGGCACAATTACGGATGATTCTGATATCTGGCTTTTTGGAGGTCAATGTGTATACAAGAATTTCTTTAACCACAACAAAAGAGTGTTACGATTTCGTGCCTGTGATATTCAACATCATTTTAGTAAGTATTGGTAGATCCATTATTATTTTAAGCTAAAGTGGCAATAATATAAATAATACTAATTAATATATATATATATATATACGAATATATGTTGTTTTTGTGCAAAAATGGTATGAAAATCTATTATTAAAGATTTAATAATAAAATAATTATATGTCACACAGGACTCAACCGCAATCAATTAATACAATTGGCCCTTTTGGTTGGTAGTGATTATACTACGGGAATAGTTGGCATTGGACCAGTTACTGCGCTAGAAATATTAGCTGCATTTCCTGCCGATGGAGATAACGTATTACATGGATTACATAATTTTTGTTCGTGGATAAAGAAGGGAATGTTTGTTGCTCCTGGAAAAACGAGTTTGCGCAATAAATTGCGAAGTCTGAAATTGAACAAAGGTAAATGATAGTCTCACGTAGACCGATAGACCGATAAGAATGAGTAAAAGTAAATGGGTATAAGTGATTGCAAGTAACTGATTATTTGACAGATTTCCCAAATCAAGCAGTTGTCCAAGCGTATCTTTTTCCCACGGTTGACGAGTCGAAAGAAATTTTTACCTGGGACAAGCCGAACGTCGTGCTTCTCTGCGACTATACCAGGCAGAAGTTTGGATGGACAAAGGGCAAATTCGACGACACAATGATACCAGTATTGAAGAGGATGGAAGAAAACAAGAATCAAAAGTTATTAGATATGTACTTCAAAGCGAAAGCGTCTCCGCGTTCGATCGAATCAAGCTTAAGTAAGAGAGTACAGAAGGCTTTGCGCAGATTGAATAGTGACGATGTAGATATGGATAGTAATACAGATGACAAACCTCGACTTAAGAAAAATAAAAAAGACGGTGCTGTCCAAAAATCAAACAATGAAAAGAATTCAGAATTTGAATTTACTGAACTTGAGACACCGACTAGTAAGATTAAAAGTGCTATCCATGAGGGAGAGAGATCTATTAAAGCCGTTGATGAAAAGAAAGATAACAAGGAATATATACCGCAACGAGAGAAAGATAAGGAAAGTGCATTAAAAAGGAAATTGCACGCTATAGAAATATTTAGAAAATCAAAACAGGGTTTGAGCAAAACAAGAAAGGTAAAATGCAAAACACGAAAAGTCAAGGAACAAGCAGAACTATCGGAAAGCGATAGTAACTAGATTGATTTGATAAAAAAGAAGGAAAAATGTACATTTTTATCATACTGTATTATACGCTCTTTTGGAAGGTGTCACTTAAGTGTTATCTTGCACGAGGCTTGTGTGTGTGTTTAAAATATCCATCCACACAAGCTCTATAACAACGATGCGAGCTAAATTAAGAATCTTGTAAATTTTTTCTATATAATTTAATGATTATAGGTGCTTTCCATTTTTTTTTACACAAGTTGACACAAACATTCTTTCTTGACATTTAGAAAGTAACAAAAGAGATAGAAAGACACTTGTGTTGACTTGTGCCACCAAATAGAGAACACCCTATAATTCATCGTGTATTTATATATGTATGTCAATAATATATAAGCAGAGAGAAATTTGAGAGTGGACACCTATTTTCATGAAACTTCAATCACGAATAATCAAAGTTGACTCTGTTCGTCATACATCCTAATAGTTAATAAATAAATATATACACTGAAATAAAATTTAAAAAAAAGTAATTTATAAATATGTAATATGATTTTCATTTCTTAAGTATCTACAAAACATATATGTATAACTAACAAAAGATATTCCTAACATATATTTTTAAAATCATTGTTTCTTATCCTACTTCACGACTACGGCAGTCTCGTTCTCTGTCAGTCTTCTCTCCAATATTTTATGTTCGATTCCGTGATTTAGCACGGATTCATACTACCTATATTAGCGTGAAATCGATTGTGACACCCTGCGATTTTATCGTAGCGTACATACATAGGTACGTAGTACTCAATTCGAAAATAGATGCTGTATTGGCGCTAGTGTACGGGAGCAAATGCAGCCTTTTCTCGTGTCTACCCGTGTGTCGGGTTGTGCCGGATCAGCCGAACTTTGCCGAATTGCTTACTGGCCGGAATTGTCATCAGGAACCACCTGGAACTGCGCGAAAATTGCTTGGTTCTTGTTGGCGCTGCCAAGACAAGAGCGATAAGAGGAATAAGAGGGAGCATGGAGGGAGCATCGAGGGAGCGTCGAGGGAGCATCGAGGAAGCGGGCCAAAACAAGCGATGCTCGAGCTGAACGAAGACTCGCGTGTGCCATTGTTGATTGCCGCTATTTCGCGAGAGAGAAGCGCGTGAGATCGATTCGTGTCGATCTCGGCTTTTCTTCCAAGAGAAGATACTTGGTAAGACGCGGCGTCTCTTGCCCGTGTCATCGTCGTCGCCGCTGCTCCTCCTGTCACTAGCTCCTAATCGCACCGTCCACGCGCCGGCACTCGAGCAACGACGATGTAGACATCCTCGTCCGTCGCCGCGTCGGGGATGTCGGCACGGCCACTCGTGATTCTTGTGAATCTCTTGAATACCATCGCCATCGTCGACGACCACACGAGCAACACAATCCCGCGAACGTACGGAATCGCATCAGTCTTTTTGGGAGATGTCTTGCAGCGATGGCGCGCGCCCGACCCGTAAGTTCGGCACAAAGTCGCCGAAGAAGTTATGCGTGACCAAGAACGAGAACAGCGACAAAACGACGACGACCATCAGCTGCGCCAGCCACCGTCACAATCATCATTATCATCACGGCCATCATCGCTTCCTCGCAGACGGCTCCACCTCGCAGCCCTCGATACACAAGCGCAATCTCTACATTGTCTCCTTTCCACTGATACTGCTGTTCAATGTGCTGCGCACTCTGCTCTATCAGTTATTTGTGGTGTTCAAATACCTGTACACCTCTACGTCTCAGCTGATCCAGCGCAGACAGGCGTCCAAACAGGTCTGTCAATTGGAGAGTGTCGTGGGACAAAAGCCAACGGATGGTCGTTTGATCAATGGTAATCGGATAGAAAGCGAGGTCATGTCGCAAGTGCCTAGACGTCCTATTGGCCCAGGGCCCGGGGATCCATTGCTAGCTAAGCAAAAGCACCATCATCGCAGAGCATTTGAATTCATTAGCAAAGCACTCAAGATCGATGAGGATAACGAAGGTACATTTTAAATGATTGTAAATGATTGTCCATCTAAAGCTCTTTGCTAGTGTTATTTTCGATAACTTCGATAATCTTGTTCCCACTCATTGTAACAGGACAAAAGGAAATGGCGATAGAATTGTACAAAAAGGGAATCGGAGAATTGGAGAAAGGAATAGCCGTAGAATGCACTGGTGGACACGGTGAAGTATGGGAACACGCGCAAAGACTTCACGACAAGATGTGTACGAATCTAGCAATGGCGAAAGACAGACTTGATTTCCTCGGTTAGTATGCTCGTTGTTACATCCGTTGTTCTGCTGCACATTGCCGCGTCTCTTAAGCTATTCCAAGCTTGTTAACCTGTGGTACAACGACAGTTTTGTTTCTTGCAAATAATGTAATATAATTGATACATACACCTACTTTTTTCCTTTTATTTCGGCAACGGTGTCCACAGGTAAATTTTTAGGAATGGCAAGAGAAAGAACTTCAATGTGTATTTAGCATGCTCGTGTGCCATTTATTTTATTTTTTCGAAGAATACGTACGTGCGTGCGTGCGTGCGCGCGCGCGCGCGAGTGTACGTATGTATTTATATATGCATGCCCGCATATAATTTACAATTTCCTAGATTATTTACTTTGTGCACAAAGTCTATCTTTATTGTGCATTTCGTTGCATTTCGAAGAAATGTAAATCAAAGAAAAATTGGCGCGAATGTATGTCGATAAAGCAAACTGAGAGCAAAAAATATTAAAAGCCCAATCTCATTAAATCTCATTGAAATATCATTTAACTATCACGCGGCAATGATAACAATCGAAACGCGCGCTTTTGTTCCGAGACATGTAGCGACATTTTATCGGTATTTTGTTATCGTATTCGAGCGTTGTACGACCGAAAAATTAGCCTGATTTTCTTTTTTAGCTGTCTATAGCATTACTGCAGCATGGCAGAGAATGTTTTTTTCCTTTTTGTAGTGAGTGTGCGTGAGCTGAGAAAGCTGGGTATCAACAATAATATCAACAATCGCGCACCTGGAAATAAAATGGACGGCGAACATCCGGGAAAGCATCTGAGGGCTCGCCGCAACACGCACACTTATCAAAACGCTCGAACTTCACCCAACATTAATCACAATAAGAACACAAACAATATACACGCGACAATTAACGCCGGACAGACTATGTGTACCCAGATTCCCAAGTTAAGGCCACGTTCACCAAAAAACTGTTTCGCTCATACTATCGAAGGTATTGTTTGCCTGAGATTCTGGGCTTGAGTGCGAAAGAAAGTCGAATGCAAGTAAATAACACAGTAATGCTAATTGTTTATTTGGAAGAGATATCTACTTGGTTTGCAGTAGCTGTATGCACAACACTCGTTTGACATGTATACAAAATTCATGAGGTAGAGTAGATGAATGTGGGCTTGCCTTAATCGCTTCTTTTTTTTTTGTATACGTAAATTTTCAAATACTGCTGCATTTCGCTTATTACATACGATAAAATTTTTCGTAAAGCGCCTTATACTTAAATTTAAAACATTTATACGTTATTTATCAAATTCACATCAAGACAGATTAGACGTACAATTAAATGTACACTATCATACGATATGTTTCATTAAACACAATTCATACATATTCGCAATCACATATTTTAAAATGATGTGTATAATTTTTTATAGATTTAATATTTGTGCAATTTTTTTTTAGCGATAGTTAAAGATAATGTATGATGAGGCTGCAATGTACCTGTATTTTTTTTTTCAAACTTAAATCGACACAAAAGTTTAAAAAATCGATATATTTTTTTAATACACACGTAAAACTTACAGAATATTACATCTATTGCATAACTATATATCGCAAATTTAAATTTTACATTGCTTTTTATTAAATTACAATTCTGCTTTCGACTGAAGTGACACCACACAATACACGCAATGTAATCGTAACTTTATTAGAAAGTACAAATAGTAGCAAGTATTTTTTATCTGAATGTAAAAATTTAGTTTTAACAATTTAAAATTTAATTACGTTATTAGTGAGGTAATACATATATCACTGTTGCAATAAACATTTTTAGTACACTCTCCTATTATTTACTATTAAATTAAACGATACAGATAACAATATTGAAAATATATACATATCTTGGCTGTGAAAATCTTTTTTTCTTACTTTTATCTTTGCGATAGACCCTCTTATCCATTAGACTGATACGCAGGATCTGCCTTTTATAATATTAATTAACTAGTAGCGATCCTTTACATCATCAATTGCATAAAATTGCATTAATTGTAAAAATTAATTATTATTTTTAAGCTTTATTTCTAAGTACAGGCATTGTTTCAGCATCTGGTAGGAAACTATCGGTCCCTGGTAAACGAATAACAGGAACACCCCTAAGTAAAAGCCAGACATTGCCTCGAAGCATGGGTAGATCAATGCCTATTCAACCTTGCCACAGAACCATGCCTATCAAACCGTCCTCCACACCACCCTCTGTAAAAAGACAATTATCTGTACCTGGAAACGGTTCACCTATAAGACGTCCAGGAACACCGACCACTTCGAGCAGTAACAGGAGTACGCCAACAAGAAAAGTACCAATTTTAAAAGGCGTAGATCCAAAACTCGCGCAAGTGATTCTCGACGAGATCTTGGAAGGAGGAGCACCAGTGCAATGGGAAGACATCGCTGGCCAAGAGGTATATCATCATCGAATTATCGTCAATATCATTATCATTATTGTTGATTGATATAGATTATATTGCGAGAGATGGAGAGAACATTATCTCCATCCCTAATTGTTACTAAATAGATAGAAAGATAAACATATATTATTTGCCTTACGACTTTGTATGTGGGAGAGAGTTTTTACATCAATCTGACATACACCATAAATTTTCTTAACACACACACAAATTTAGTATAATTATCTTATCTGATAAAAGATTTTAGTTTAGATTTATTTTTTGTTTATATAAATATCTCTATTTTTTATTTCTACTATGCAGTTTGTCGCTAAATATTCAGACAACAAATAATATTTTTATTCGATTAGGTTAAATTTAATAATTTAAAAAAAAAGAATTATATGGTATGGTAGAGATATATTTAAAAAAATGGTATTATAGCAGTTAAAAATTTTTTTTTTCGTGATTAGTTTACCTTCAGGTAATTAACAGCTTATTAGCTAATTAATGCTAATAGCTGTTAATTACCTTCAGTTCCCCTTTGTCTTGGTTTTTACTAAATATTTTCGTTTGACTTAAACTTTCAGACTGCGAAACAGGCTTTACAAGAGATGGTAATCTTACCATCGCTAAGACCTGAGCTATTTACTGGTCTGCGAACACCTGCGAGAGGATTATTATTGTTCGGGCCACCGGGAAACGGAAAGACATTGTTGGCGCGCGCCGTTGCGACTCAATGCAACGCAACATTTTTTTCGATTTCTGCAGCCAGTCTCACGTCGAAATACGTTGGAGAAGGTGAAAAATTAGTGAGGGCTCTATTTGCTATTGCTCGGGAGTTTCAGCCCTCTGTTATTTTCATCGACGAAGTGGATTCATTATTAAGCGAGCGTAAAGATAACGAACACGAAGCTTCGAGGTATAGTTATTCGTGTATTCTTTCTGTATAATTACACACCATACACATACAAATATATGTATCAAATCAAATAAATAAGGAAAGCACCAAAGTCAGGGCTAAATTTTGATGCTAATCACACACACACACATTTTTATTAAATTCTTATACTTTTTAGTAAATTCTTATACTTCTTTTATAATTATGTAAACGCCAGACTTATTATCAGACTTAAAACGTAATCATAAACTAAATCTAAAATAATGTCACAATTTAATCAATTGACCATTTGATAATGATACTATTAGCATCTTTAAATATTGTAAAGTACTTGACAAAAATATTAGCTCAATCAAGATTTAAATATGGAACTTCTCGATTATTCGAGGCGGGTATCTTTCTCGATGATAGAATTAGAATAGTCATAGTAGGTACGAATTTTGGTAATATTTTTCATACAGTGATCTAAATTAATTTATTATTGTGTGTATATGCGCGCGTGTATATGTACGTGTGCAGATAGTGTGAACATAATGTGTTAATGAATGTGTGTGTGTGTGTGTGTATTTCAGGAGGCTAAAAACAGAATTCTTAGTCGAATTCGATGGTTTGCCGTGCAATCCAGAAGAAAGAGTGCTCGTTATGGCTGCTACAAATAGACCGCAGGAATTAGATGAGGCTGCATTAAGGCGATTCACAAAACGCGTATATGTTACATTACCTGACTTGCAAACAAGAATTGTGTTACTTCGAAGACTTTTGGCCAAACACAATGATCCATTGATGTTCGAAGAGTTGAATGAGATGGCAGTTTTGACGGAAGGATACTCGGGAAGCGATTTGACTGGACTAGCCAAAGATGCAGCACTTGGGCCTATTAGAGGTAACACTGAAACTTCCTTGTTTTTTTTTTAATTTTATGTTATGAGTGAAGATACGAATTTGGTCACTCATATAGCACCTTGCAATCCTACAAATGTGTCTTATCATTTTAATTAATATATGCACGCATACTGTCTCTTAGGTATTAGAAATTGATTTTATATTTACCACACAAGTGTGTATCAATTCTATATATTTTATTTATTTAATTGTGTCAAGTCTAATAAAAAATATGAAGAAGGTTCCATCGAATTCATATTGTGCCTTGAAAGTGTAGAAAAAATCTGTTACTTGTGAAATTTAACTACAATATATATCTTATTATATCATTCTCAGAATTGAATCCAGATCAGGTGAAAGAATTGGATCTTAACTCCGTTCGTAACATCACAATGCAAGATTTCCGTGATTCTCTAAAGAGAATTCGTAGATCCGTTTCACCGGCAAGTCTAGCTGCTTATGAGAAATGGAACTTTGAATATGGAGATGTGAGTCTTTGATTTGAAATAAGCCGCTTGAGCAAGAAGCTTCAAAAAAATTTACGTTTCAATTGAATTTAAACTGCAAAACATGATTAGACAAATGTTCCAAACTATTGAAATCATATAAAAAAAAACCATATAATACCGATTGTCGACGCAATTCTTATGTTTTTATTCTTTCTTAGAACAATATTGATACTTACAAAAAAGACTGCAGTAAAAAGTTAAATAAGAATTTTTTTCTCCAAATCGCGTAACGTGTTTTTGTCTCGGTGATAAAAAATCAACATATGTAAGGTCATTGTTATCTTATTTCACTTACTACTTTACTAACTATCTGATCTTTATTATAATTTAATAATAATAATAGAGCGAGATCTTTTACAATAAATAAAACTAGGTTCAAAGAGTGATTTAATATCTCAAATGTGTCTTAAAAAAATATCACATTGATTTCATGAAATAATACTCCATATAATACTCCATGTGTTCTATATGTTACATCCAGTGATCTAACATTACAATTTATGATTCAATACGATACAATAATTTAATATTATTAGTTTAAAGAAACAGTATTTATTATTTATATTTATTTATATATGTATATGTTCATTATTCTTACGTAGTTTCTTTGTAATAATTGGTATTTGAAATCTATGTGCGATACTATTTGTTTTACAATAATTTGCATTTAATATCAGGGTGCTCATTATCGTAATTAACACGTAATACTTGCAATTATAAGGAAATATGCATTTTAAAGAATACATGATTAAGTATAGATCTGCAATTAAAGGAAATATATCTTTTTAAACTTGTAAATATACTTTCAATTATTATTTATAAAATTGACACGAGCAAGTTGAATATAATGACATATTATAATCCGATTCATTATTGCAATAGTAGAAAAACTACATTTGCAAATGGAACAGTGCACGTCCAATCAGATAATAAAACATAAGGTCTATCATATACTATACAATATACAATACATATAAGAGGATATTATATGTAATTGCATAATTACTATATTCATGTGATATAGTATTGTAAAATATCGTATACACATACAAATATGCAGACAGGTGTCTCTGTAAAGTCGAGCAGAAATATTAAATTTTACCTTATATGCGTTGATTCTTTATAAAATGTACTACAAGGTATATATCTTCAAGTATAGTTGATTTTCAAACGAATGTTAAACTTGTTACGTTTGATACTATTTCGAAGATACATTTGATATTTTTATTAATATACTAATGCGTGTTAAACTTACGCTAAACTATATACGATTCGTGATTCGAGACAGTGATATATTCGTTGAGTTTACATTTGTCATTTATCGTTCGTACCAATGGAGCAATATTCTTTTTTCTGAGATCAAGGAACACGAATTATCACGAATTGTGCACATAATTGAATGCAAACTTTAGAAATCACGCGGCTATCATGACGCACAGAATCATAATTTTATATGTAAAGAAAACGAAACATGATTTGGGAAAGGAGAAATTCTGTTTTAATATAAAATTCTATAAAACAACGAACTGAGAATCCGATATGTGCTATATGAAATCCTAAGCATTTATAAGAATTATGTATAAGTTTGACGAACATTGCTATCGTATTCACAAAAAATGAAATTTACTAAATTGTGTGTGCGTGTGTGTGTGCGTATATATATATATATATATATATCACGGTCGAAGTGTTAATAAATATATACACTTACTGTAGTCTGCTATAAAATGTAAACGCCGAGACACTATCGTGTATACATACTAATCAATGTATACATATAATGTATACATTGATTAGTATGCATTTATTAAAGTTAATATTTTGACTGTGACATATATATATATATATATATATATATATATATATATATAACATACACACACAAGTATGGGGTATTTTTGTGACATTTATCTATTGCTTCCGATGCTCAAAAGTAAAATAATTATGCATGTATAATTAAACAAATTATGTATTCAAAACGGAACTATATATATTATAATACTCTGCAACATGACGTACATTTATTGATCATTCCAAATCAATAACGATCATTCGTGATATAAAAATAGTTTTGTAGAGTAAAACTTATTATGCAAAATAATAAACAGTAAATTATTTTTCAATGAGTTTTATGCAAATGATGCTTCTTTGATACAGTGGAAGAATAGAAAATGTTATTTGCAGCTAAATAATAATTATTTAATAACAGATATCTCTATTTAGAAATAGAATACGATGCATTTGTTAAATAGATATTCCATAGCAGATAAGATATAATAGACATATGTAGATCTGATAGCTTATTCTACAATGCGACGCATAAATATGGCATTTCGAGATTCGCACTGTTGTAATTATAAAAATCGTGTGATACTAAACAGCATTTAAGATGTTACTGCGATGATAAACTCGATATTTTCGCGGCACTTTTTAATGTACTTAATGCACAAGGAAACGATATACAAATGTTCTCATGAATCATAATTCTGGGTCTTTCTAGATATTGTGATTTTGTTCGTTTTTCTAGAGAGCGTATTTATGATGCCGCGATGAGAGTTCGATTTTTAAAAAATTATAATTAACATGATCGCGGAGCTTGAGTATCGCTGAGTGATGCTGACTCAAATAATTTATTTCCAAATTACTTTGTGATATTAGTTCTTTATATTAATCTTTATGCACTGCCTATGTAGATTATAATATTATATATCATATTATGTATGATATGTATTGCAAAATATGAATTGTTATAAATATATTAGTTTGAAATTTATGATAATTTTGCAACAGCAAATTCTGTTTCGCATATAAAGCTAGATTATTCGAAGACCCTGGCCTTTTATTGTGGAACATGCTGAGCCTTGATTAAGTTATTTTGCTACTTTTATAACATATAATGGTAAAAATTGAATAAGAATAATCGGGTATAATATTTATGCTATATATTATATTTAATACCATTTAGTATAATGGTAAATATACACGAGTTACAAATTAAAAAAACTGTGCATGATTACAAGGTTTTTCCCCTTTTAAATTATCTTTCTAGTTTTAACGTATCAGTCATATTTAATTATCGTTTTATAAGTGATTTTGCATTGACAACTTTTAAGATGATCCATAATCCATTAATCAATATTGTTGTGTTCTCTTGTAACAAGCTTGTTAAATTACTCCCATGATTTTTACTAATTTCGTTGTAATTCGTTCCACGAGAGAGGTATGATCCATGTATATCCAACAGTATTATAGAATATTTTCAGTAAGCCATGTTGTAAATTAATCAAACGTTAGATTATATGTACATTTTTACTAAATATTTGGTAGTATATATTATAAAAAAAAAACCTGTTGCGCCGGCAACGACATAGAAATAAACGGGAATAAAAAATCCGAACCTTGTGTCGTTGACGACACAGCTGTACCGTACATAAGTTCGTGAGAACGTTGAAATCGATAAAGAAATGACTCTTGTATTGAAGCATTAAAATATAACGTATCCTTTCCTACTAGTTTTTTCGTCATTTTTGCTACATATACGCGTAGACATATTTTTTCCTCCTAGAGTACGTTTCGTTTTCACGCTCATACGCTGTAAGCATGTAAATGTCAGTTCATCCTTATTGTCTACCAAATATTGAACAACGACAAATAATGCTTACAAGCGCAAAACGGAACGCACCCTTAATATTTATCCATATTCGCAAACTCACGAACAATAGGATATCTTTAATTTATACCGTGGTAGTCAACGTCCACAATAGAATAATTATACATATCTATTTAATAGATGTTTATCAAAATAACGATCGATTAAATTTCTAATGTAAGACTAGCACAACAGATTGTACAGAAATGTGAAACATTCTGACAGTATTTCATCAGAGTACCGTTGATTCGAGGAATGCGTTTACGAAGTATGTAATAAATGTATGTAAAGTACAAATTATTTCCCTCATATTTGTGCTTCCTCTTATGTAAAACCAAGTTGAAATCTTTAAAGATACTTGATTCTCAATTTCCTTTCTTTTCCTTCGTTCGTTTAATTTGTGACATTGAAAGGTATTTTCTGGACAGAAATATACGTTTTGAGATAATGTTATTATTTGTAACGTCCAAACTTTTTCTTTTATCGATAAATATTATGCGAATTATGTGAAATATCAGACAAAAAAGTAAACTTGAACTAATAAAAAGATACGAATGTTACTTTCACATGAATTGTCGTATAAGTGTTGAAACGTTTACAAGTAATTCCTCGAGAATGTCTTTTCAATTATCGTGAATGGTCGTTGTACGAGTATGCAAAAAAAAAAATAAAATCATACTATAAGTACATGTAGTTGAGCATTGTGTTCATTTTACACCATACACAACTGTGTCATTCACCATAGATTAATACACCATACTATACCTTACCTTACTCATTCAATTATTCTACTTAATTGCCATTAATTATGAGGAAAAGCAGATAGATACGCAAGTGGGAGAAATTACTGTTGAAACAAACGGTCACGAAATAATGCACGATATTATGTATTTTAAATATTTATTCCTTTTTTTTTTTTCATTCAAAAGGACAATTTGTTTTTATTATAAGATAACATTATCCTAAGCATCTTCGAGGGTTCAACACCCTGCCGTACCTAAATTATTCTTTATATAACATTTTTTGTTTCCTCTCTTACGATTTTCCTACCGATTACATCGCAGGCAACTCCGCGGTTTCTCTTAAATTGGCTTTCCGTCTGTTATCGCTTTGTCGCAGCCAATCGAATCGTTACCATGCCCGGCTTTATTCATTTCCATTATTTACCTCGCATCTCGTTTATATACTGACTTTATACAAATTGGTTTTGAAATTTTTTATGGCATTTTACCGTCGGTGGTGAACTGAGGTGATAAGCATTCTCACATGTCAAGCATCATTGGAAATTATCCATTTCGAGCCTCTTTACGAACATTCGCGACACAAAATAAAATAATAAGCTCAATTATTCTTGAAATGGGGATATTTATTGTTCCGTTGGAACGGTAGATACTTGAACTCTTACCTTTTTCAGAAGAATGCAATGGTGTGACGCGACGCAATCACGCATACAAATCTCGTAAAACAAGTTGTTTCGCAAACAACAACTATGTAACAGGGCTCGTGTGTCTAGAAGTTTAGATACTAAGGCACCGACCAAGATCATCATGTAATTAATTATATAATTTCAGATTAAAATGGCCAATAAGCAACACTGTAACACTTGGAAACAGATCTCAATTAACAATGTTCAACAAATGAAAAAGGAGGACGACGAATGACGTCCCTCTGTGATATATTGATATTTTCACAGTAAAATTATCGATTCATTTGAGTATATCACATTTAGAAATATACAACGTACGTAAAGTTTCTTCCGGAATCGGTAGCCTGAGAGACTAGTCACCAGAGCCCTAACGAGAATATACCGGAGAGAACAAAAGAAACTATCGTTAATTGTGCTACGCGAAAAAAAAAAATTTGAGTTACTTGAGTTAACTTGGAAGACACGAAGGAATCGAATCGTGTCACGTACAGACTACGATGATGATGATAATAATTCACAAATGTATGTATATTATATCACGATTGTCAATCGAATCATTTCATGCTGTATTGCAAAAACAAGATACCAATTAGCGACGTTCGCATTACGAGCAACCAAATATGGCATATGTACGTTTTCAATTTTTATACGCGTATTTTAATCCCGAGACCAAGATATCAATGACTCGTCCCTTGCTGATGTCCCGATGGAAGTATGCGTGCATTTATCATTATTATCGTACTTAAATTACATTTATTTGTTATTCTTCGGTCAGCTAGGTCGTCTATACAAACGACGAGGAGTAACATCACGGTATATACGACGGAGTACGTTAATACCGATATCTCTTCGGATCTCTAACTAGACTCATTTTTAGCGACGCGATCAATCTCTACATTTATTCTTTTTTCTCCAAAATTACGAATATTCGCATAAAAAAAAAAAACAAGCGCATCGCGATTTTCATATTTAAAAGTGTGATCCACTTAACACTGCAAATGCTTCGTTGACCAATTAGAAGAGTGAATTTTACGAATCAATCAATATCAAAGAAAGAGCAAATGCTTTCAAGCGTTAAGTAGATCGCATTCAGAATATAAAATCTTCGAAATACACTGAAGACATGATGGAAGTTTACTAGAAGAGATCCAATGCACTATTTAACATACAACGTCGCAGCAATTAATGTATTTGAGCTTGCACTCGTACAAGGGAATCTCGATTCACTGATGTCTTTAGCAAAAAACATTCATACTTTCTCTCTCTCTCTCTCTCTCTCTCTCTCTCTCTCTCTCTCTCTCTTTCTCTCACACACACGCATCACTCATTCACACACGTACATGCACACTTTTTCTTTCTTCCTTTTATTATTCTTCTTTGAAGATTATAGCAAAATTTTATACATTAACCACCGACGATAAATATCACATAACGAGATAAAGTTGTAACTCGTTACTCAACTCTCGCAGAATTTATTTGTTAGGGAGCCCCGCACCTTAGCATACACGCGTCCAAAAGTCTAGCTACATCACAGGCGCCGTGTCTAGCTAACCGCTCTTCTACCTTACTAACTATGTCCAATATTAGCAATACTCTTCTTATTTATCTCAAATGAACATTTCTCGCGCGCGTTGCTTATCGACAATTCGATAATTGAAGAGGGAGATGTCAGTGGCAAAAATGTTAAAAAGGTATCAACAACAACGCAAAGAATTGCCGCATACGTACGTCACTTGCGCAGCACAACGGATGCGGGGCTCGGTTGAGTGTCAGGGGCCGCGAGGAAAAGTTTGGAGATATACCTGGTTCAACGTTGGGTATATATATATATTTTTTTTTTTTCGAATATATATGTGTGTATGTGTATATATTCGAAGCCTAAGTCGTGAAATTCAATCAAATTCTAATACCATGACACGCGTCGTACGAGCATCATCGCAAGTCACCGTCATTACTTGTGTCTCAATATACGTCATGTGTGTCTATGACAGAAAAGAAAATTGTAACGTCTTCAGCGTCGAACAAATCGTGATTGTGTGCAGAAATATAGAAAGGAGAGAGAAAAAACCGCCAGCATATCATATTCTACTTTTTCTATTTCTATTTTAAAAAATTGGTTTAAATAAAATTGCATTAATCGTGGAAATGATTAGTTACATCATCGAAAATTCGAGCGTTGAAATAATGTTGAAATAGGTATATGTCAGAACGATTTTCGCGATAACCCCGGGACAACTATATCGTACGTAACAATTAGCCGGTCAATGATCAGTTTCATTGCGTAGGGTACTGATGTGGCATGGTATATGTTACCATAGTGGGCTGTTGGCCTGGAGGCAAGGGCGCACTCGCTGTCGGCGGTGCCGCGGTGGCTTGCGTTGGTTGCCAAGCTCCTGCGCCTGGAGTGGGCATCCTCATGCTGTTCATATACTGAGCCTGTTGTCCATAATATTGACCATAGTATTGCGCAGGTTGCAAGAACTGACCCTGCATTTGCGGATAGCTCTGTGGATACCAATAACTCATCTGTTGACCATAACCATACGCATATTGTCCTGCTCCTGCTGTCACCTGTTTGATGGAAAGACACTCAATTATCTATCTGTTTCTATAAAATTCCATCGTTTATGTGACAAACAATATATAATAATTTGCACAGTCTCTTTCTCCCTCTTAAAAATATGTAAGCAATTACCTGTTGAGCTTGATGATTTGCATTGGGACCCACACTATTCGGATCACCATTTTCTTTTCCCCAAAAACATTTAACAATGCTACCGTTGATTTCTGTATTATGTGTCGTTTCAATGGCATGTGTCGCAGCTTCCTTGGTTGTGAATTTGATAAAAGCATATCCCTTGTCTTTGAACACTCTTATGTCTTGAATGGTACCAAAGGGAGAAAAGGTTTTCTTTATCAGCTCGTCCGTGATACCGTTCGTAAAACCTCCACAATATACGGTACAATTGGTCGGACTACTTTGGTTATATACCTGTTGAGAAAAAAGAAGACGTTAAGTTTGATCTGGTTTTGAAATTGGTATAGAGAAATGAAGGAGAGAGAGAGATAAACGGATTCTCTTGCTTTCTCTCTGTGGCAAACGAGTGGCCACGTAGTAGTGGTGCCTTTGCCGCGTAGAAACGGTAGTTTGTCCGCGGTCGACTTTATACGTTAGACCCAATCGTCGAGCGTGACCAAGAGGAGAGGAGAGAAGAGTGACATAGAGAGACTAAAATCCAACGATATAAAAATGCTCCTACGCGAGCTCGTCGCAGAGCAAAATGCAAAGAGGTAAAGAGGTGAAGGATCACGTACCTCCTCGTAGTTGGGTTTACTATTGTTGGAATGCCGCGGCCTCTCAGACCTCGGTGGCGGCGGTTTCCTAGTGGACCAGTTGGTCCTGATGCTACGTGAACCGAGCCACTGGCCGTTCATCGCATTGATAGCCGCTTCGGCCTCGGACTTTTTAACAAACGAGACGAACGCGTAACCCTTGCTCTTAAGCGTTTGCGGGTCGCGGACGATCCTGCAGTTGCTGATCTCGCCGAAGGGCGCGAATGCCTCCTTGAGCGTCTGTGTCTCGATTTCCGGCGAGAGATCGCCGACAAATATGTGATGATGATTGCTGGTGTCGAGTTTCGGCTGATTGCCTGGACTGGTCGCCCAGTTAACCTTCATCTCCTTGTCGAGGAACGAGCGCTTGTTCATGGCGGCCAGCGCCGTGGCCGCGCACTGATGGTTCGTAAACTCAACGAAGGCATACGGATCGTTGCCGGGTTCTCGGATAATCTTGCATCCCTTCACGGCGCCGATTTGTGAAAAGAGTGCACACAAAAGGTCTTCGGATACCGAGGTATCCAGGTTGCCCACGTACAGCGTACGTGGATTACTTTCCTCGCTCATGTTCGCACGCGCTGCTTGGCGCTGCTACGGACGCACCGTCGTCGCGACGAACGCACACTTTCACTTTTCGCTACTTTTCGCTCGTTGGCTCGCTCGCCCGCTCGCTCGCTCGCCCGTCTGTCCGTCCGTCCGATTGTTTATCGTTCGATCGTTTGCGAGGTTTGTTCGCTCGCTTGCTCGTTCGTTCGTTCGTTCGTTCGTTCGCTTCGCCCGTTCGCGAACACTTTCCCCTCTCGCCGAAGTTGCTCGCTCTTACCCTCCACGGCCTCCACGCGTCACACGCGTCACAGTTACACAGCTAAGCAGGACAAGCTTATCCGCGGGAAACCGAACGCTGCGGCGACAGTGGCAACTTGTCGTCACTCGCAGCCGAGTGTTCGCAACCATCAACATTCAGGCACTTAGCAGACACCGAACCGTTAGTTTTTTTTCCTCGCGCACGACCGACGGCGACAATAAGAACGCTAAGCTACACCCAGCCTCTACGTCATACTAATACATAAAATGGCCGCCCCGCGCGCCTCACCGCTCCTCGCCGCTTCGCAGCCCGCAGAGCCCGCTTTCCCTTTGACTCGCGCCGCGCCGCGCCGCGAGTGCAACGGTATATACGAATGGTAAACGCGAGCAACGCGCCCGCTATACCGCAAATCCTGGCAAATGGCGCAAATCCCGGCAGTTCCCGGCTCCCGGCACCGCGCCGCGATCAGACTTGCTCGCGTGTGATCGCGTGCGCGCGCGCGCCCGCGCTCAGCGATCTACTATTCTGATAATCTGTAGTGATTTGGCGACGATGATTTGCGAGTAAATATCGGAACTACTGACAAGTATCGACGCTTAAAATTCGGCCAAGAGACACGTGTTTTTCTACCACAATACAAGTAACGAAGTAAACTCACGCGCGGACCATGCCATTGGCTTTGCGAAACTCACTAGGTACGTATTCCAATCTGTTCCATCTTCGATTCGACGTTCGTCACAACGGAAATCTCCCCCCTGTGGAAACGACGCTTTAAAAAGGGTGCCTTCCAACAAGCGACACACATGACACGATATGACACGGTGTATCAGCCTTGTTGTTCGCCAATGTTAAACAAGGATGAGATAATCACTGTGTCGCATCGTGTCACTTGTTGGAAGGCACCCAAAGTGTAGTCAAGGCCTCTTTCACCAACGTCGATTAACTTAATCGACGATTAGTCCATTGGAATTGACCAATCGCGTCTGTCGTCAAAACTAAATGATAAATGCGATTGGTCAATTCCAATGGACTAATCGTCGATTAAGTTAATCGGCGTTTAATCGGCGTTGGTAACAGTCGCCCTTAAGCCCATTCTACATTGGTCGTATCGTAGACGTCGCAGGTCACAAATTTGTTGCAACAGCCAATCTGATGTGTCAATTAGAAGTCTGCACCCTAAGTTTACATAAGTTTAAACTTGAATGAATTATTGGTGGAAACCAATATTCTAGTAAACTTTGGTTAACCGAGTGTCACTAGAGATTAACTTTTTAAACCGCGTTGGTAGAAACGAGGATTACGCTTTGAGTTTTTTGTGTACCAAGGCCCTTATGCCTACTGCCCATTGTAGAATGGGCTTTAAGCGTGTAATAGACCACAGTGACATCAAAATCATATTAAGGAGAATAATTAATTATCATTGGTCGATTTCTACGCCTTGCTGTTATTGCACATTGTAGAATTGGCTTAATGCGCATGGGTTGGCATTATGCATGAGATGGAACGCAGCCTTTGGCTACGTTCCGTTTCGAGCATATGTGCGCATTTTATATAGTGAGCGTCACGTATACTATAGAGGAATGCGTGCATATGCGTGAAACGGAACGCAGCCTTTGATATCCTCCAAAATGTGTTTTATGCGTTTACATCATCATTTGTATCTTTTAATACGCGCATAGCCCATGGCACATAGAAATATCCCGTGGTAAAGTACCACCTTTTTACCGACTCCTGTCTGTTTTAAGAGCCTCCTGAGGCGCTGTCGCGATGTGACGCTCCCGCCGGTATTACGTCACTGCAGAGTGATTGGTCCGAGTAGCGTGGGAAGGCCACGCGCGGCCAAGATTGGCCGCTTGACTTATTCGAATTAAGAAAGAGCGTCTTTGTACGAGAACTGTCCTGACGGCACGGCACTGCACGGCACTTGACGGACGATCGACATCAGTCGATATTTTGTGTGAAGTAATAAAATCTGTATTTACTCGTACACAAGTCCACTTGCTGTGTGTGTCACCTGTGCCTTCCTGACAACAGTTTCCACAGAAAATCTCTTACAGCTGTAAGAGCTACAATGTTCAATATGTCGAAATTTGTGCCAAATAAAGAGCATTCGCGGACAGCATTAATTTTTTGTTTTCATTTGAAGAAAACTGCTGCTGAATCATATCGATTACTTCGAGAAGCTTATGGTGAACATGCTCCATCGCAAGATACGTGTGAACGATGGTTTCGGCGTTTCAAAAGTAGTGATTTCAATGTTGTAGACAAGGAACACGGAAAACCGCCAAAAAGGTACGAAGACGTAGAATTGCAAGCATTGTTGGACGAAGACGATTCACAAACACAAAAACAACTCGCAAAGCAATTGAGCGTTAGTCAACAAGCTGTTTCCAATCGTCTACGAGAGATGGGAAAGATTCAGAAGGTCGGTAGATGGATACCACTTGAGTTGAACGAGAGGCAGATGGAGAGGCGCAAAAGCACATGTGAAATTTTGCTCGAACGATACAAAAGGAAGTCGTTTTTGCATCGTGTCGTTACTGGGGATAAAAAGTTGATATATTTTGAGAATCTAAAGCGCAAAAAACCAGGCGTACCATCCACATCGACCGCAAGACTGAATCGCTTTGGCAGGAAGACGATGCTCTGTGTTTGGTGGGATCAGAAAGGTGTGGTCTATTATGAGCTGTTAAAGCCTACTGAAACGGTTAGTACCAAACGCTACCAACAACAATTGATCGATTTGAACCGTTCGCTACTCGAAAAACGACCAGAATATCGAAAAAGGCAACACAAGGTCGTTTTTCTCCATGACAATGCTCCATTACATACAGCAAAATCGGTTCGCGACACGTTGGAAACACTCAGCTGGGAAGTGCTACCCCATGCGGCTTACTCACCAGACTTGGCTCCTTCCGATTACCACTTGTTTGCATCGATGGGTGACGCACTTGCTGACCAGCGCTTTGGTTCGTACGAAGATGTGAAAAAATGGCTCGATGAATGGTTCGCGACAAAAGGGGAAGATTTTTACTGGCGTGGTATCCACAAATTACCCGAAAGATGGGAAAAATGTGTAACTAGCAATGGAGCATACCTTGAATAACCTTTTTATCGTTCTTCTGAATTCAACGGGTTTTTTTTTTAATCTGTATTTCATACTTGTACACCTGGTAAATTTGATGCGCAATAATGCTTTAGTACGTTCGATGTAAACGCATCCGTAGTGCGTATCAAATTTAATACGCATACCAATTCTTTCACGACATAAACCAGGCCATTGACAACACAGTGCATTGCAAAAATTTCTTGAGGGGCTATGCAGAATAAAAGGAATAGGGAACAGAGAATAAGAATTTCAACCTATCAGAAATTATATAATGTGGAATAAACGTGTATTCCATAGTACATGATTTCTGGTAGGTTGAAATTCTTGTTCTCTGTTCCCTGTTCCTTTTATTCTGCGCAGCCCTTACTGTACGAGAATACGCCTTGAGAATTAAAGTGCCTTTTCACGCTGACGATGGTTACGTAATTATTACGCGATACACACGTGATAAATATGCCTCTCATGGGACTTATCCACCGTATAGTAATCCAAAGACGTATATACCATACGAATTAGCCAGAGTCAAGAATCTTCAAAAATTTGATTATTTATTTACTATCCGAATTACATTACAGTGATACAGTATTTTCATTATTACTATACACATTTGTGTATTAACAATAAAAATGCATAGATATATCATTATAACATTGTCTTACTTTAGCATTGATAACATGTTTTATTGTACAAATTTAACAAGTCAGATAAAATAATATTTACATTTGATTATTTTTATATTTGCAATATTGCACAGATTGTTTTTTTTTTTATAGTAAAAAAATTATAAAATATATAAAGACTATAATTAAACAATTACATGTTATGGATTTAGTAGTAGTGATGTACGAAATAATAAATTTAGAATAATATACAATAATGTTTATAAACTTATAATTATAATTTTAATATCATTGTATTATTTTCGTTAAATAAATTAATATTAAGATATAATGAAAAAATTGAGGGAAATTAAAACGATACATATAGGAAAACAGTATAAGAGATAATTCAATTTTTACGTAGTTATTTTTGGAAACTGATAGTACTAATAAATATTTCAAATGTATCAGATGTAAAGAAATTTTTATCTGATATTTCACACAAGTTATCAAATTTCCATTTATGATACATTTGTTAAATTCGATGATAATGTAATAAGAGCTTGCGTGCATGCGATAAAGTTTTTGACACACAATAAACATAAGACACATACAAGGAAAAACTTATACATACAGTAAAAATATTTGTTAACATTTTATATATCCAGGAATTTTTCAACTTTTAAAATAATCTTTTACTGAGCTACATTTGGAAACATCCGAATGTCTCTGTATATCATTTTGTTATTTATCTAATTTTAAACAAGAATAAGATATATAGGGGCATCTGGGTGACGTTTCCAAACACACATCTGTAATTCAGCATTTCGGTGACAAGGGTCACACATTTGTAAAATTTGCTTTTTTTTTTAGCAAGACTTACTAAACAAAACTTATAAACTTAAATTGCATACTCGTACATGTAGAATTCATTGGTTTGCCGCTATTCAGTCTTTCAGTATTATAAATCATATATTACTACATAATTTTATATACATATATATTCAAACAATGTCATGTTTTATCTATATTAGATTGTGTTCAATCATAATTGTTTAAATAAATTTAAGTATATTTTTAATAATCTTTACCTTTATCTATCTCGCAATACAATCTAATAATAATAATGAAAGAAAAATTATTCTGTTTAATATTTACTAAACTTAACAAAAGGATAATGAATGAATGAATTATTGTTGCAAAGTAAATTTATATAAAGCATTTTTGCCATAACTATGAAATTAATCCTCATCAATATTCGCAAATCTAACGTAGATATTTTCGTTAATCACGTTGTGAAAAGTTAATAACAAATGTTTTTCACAATCTTACATAATTTTAAGTTACATAATCTTATTCCACGGAGTTTGACTTTCTTAATAAAAAATGTTTAATTATATTAATTTTAAGCAAAGATATGTTAACTTAAAGTACACTAGATCCACGAATACCAATTAAGGAAATTTCAGACTGAATACTCGCACCCCTTCCCTCCTACTAGGGACAGAGATTCAAAAAGAAAA